GATACCTACCTATAATTATGACTCGTACACTCTCTACTGCCGTTCAAATAGAACTTAAGGCATTACTTGCGAAAGAAACATCTATTGCAAGCATCCAGAAGAAACTTGGAATATCAAAAGGGGTGATTTCCAAGTATAGCAATAAGTGGTTCCCTAACAGACAACGTCAAGCAGGTGGTAGACCGGTTATTGTAGCGGAGAAAAGTAAAGCTGTGGTTCGTCGCAAGCTATTAACAGGGTCTATAAATACTGCCCAAGAGGCCCATAAAGCCTTTCTTGATTTGGGTTACGATTTGACTTACAAAACGTCCATAAACGCTCTCAAATCTATGGGTTTTCATTCTGGTATCAAACAAAAGAAGCCTTTCATCAGCGAGAAGAATAGAAAGAAGCGTTTGCGATGGGCCAAAAACCACCAGTATTGGACAGTCGACGATTGGAAGCGTGTTGTGTTCTCAGATGAGACGAAAATCAACGTTTGGGGGTCTGATGGTTGCAAATACTATTGGACTAGACCAGGTGACCCACTTAAACCTCACCATCTTGATATTACTGTCAAGCATGGGGGCGGCCATATCATGGTTTGGGGTTGTATGACCTACTATGGACCTGGTTACGCATGCCAGATATACGATGGGACCATGAAATCCGAGGATTACCAGCATATTCTGGACACAACACTTAGGGATACCATGGAGTACTATGGATTAGACTGGCAAGAATCGTATTTCCAGCACGATAATGACCCCAAACACACATCCAATAGCACTAAAAAGTGGTTTAAGGAGCACAAGGTGAACGTAATCGACGATTGGCCTCCTCAAAGTCCCGACTTGAATCCAATCGAGCACCTCTGGCACCAGTGTAAGGTTCGTTTAAGTATGTATGAGAGAAGGGCAGCTGGGGTCCATCAATTATGGGAAAGATTCGACGCTGAGTGGAACAAGATTACGGAGGAGGAGTGTATAAGGTATATTGAAAGTATGCCAGCTCGTATACAAGCAGTTTTGGAAGCGAATGGTGGCCATACTAGATACTAGTTAACATTGGAAAAAACTGTTCACGTGTTTAGAAATCTTCGACGGAATTTTCCTCTTAATAAAATAGCTTGATTGAAACTCCGAATTGCATTTGTTTTATAGAGATTTTCTTGGGCTATCTGCCAGTATTAGTTTCATCGTCGTAGATGTTGATTAGCGTGAGCTAGAAGGGAATATAGCGCATTTTGCAATTTACGTGAACAGTTTTTTCACCCACTGTATAGCACTTGCCTTCCTTCTTTGCTTGCTCAAATTTCTTCACCTTGTTCTTCTTTTCTTGTTCGTTCTTCAACGAGAAACAAGTGTCGGTGCTATGTGTAGCATTTTGTCCGTGTCGCTTGCAGAAAAACCTGTTACTTGCAGTAGTACCAGAAGAAGAGCTACCATGGCCACCTTTGCTGACCTCTTTCAACTTCATTCTTTTGCTAAGTCTATCCCCTCCTTGATATGGCATGGAAGCTGTATAAGGTTTCGTAGCACCACCTGGCAAGAGAGCAGTGGCAAAGCCATAGGTGGTTTGGTCGTCACCTAATACATCTCTAGCGAGTTCACTAAGCTTCTCAACGGTCCACTTTTCATCCTTATTCGTAGCCATTGACAGACGTAGTACCGTTTGAACGGGAGGAAGCAAGGAAGTTAAAAATCGATCGGCCACGCCTTCATCCGTGCTGGGGATGCCCGCCTCATGCATCATCTGGAGAAATCTCCTGGAATAATCAATAATGTTGTCCTTCGGCGCCATGTTCATAGTGTAGACCTGCTCAACAAAGCGACGTTTTGCAGTTCTTGATCCGTAATACTTCCGGAACTCCACCTTCGCATCGGACCAGCTAGTACACTTCAAAAGCGTCTTGTCTACCCATGCAGCGTCACCGGGGGGAAGGCACAAAGGGATGAGGTCATTCCAGTAGCGTTCAATGTCTCTAATTGAGGAAGATCTAATGATCTGTTCAAAGGTTCGTAAATAATGGTCAACCGACTCGAACACCTCTTCACCGGGATAACGTTTAAATACGTCAGAACTCAATTGGAACTTCGGAAGGTCTCTGCGGTTCAGCGTTAAACCACGTTTCTCACCAACAGGGTCAAAGAGTCTACTTGTGCCACTACCAACAGACGAAATGTCTTCAGAACCCTTCCTCAACAGAGCTGCATTCGCTTCCAAGCTATGAATTGCTCTGCGAGTTTTGTCCATTTTAACCATCGCAGCATCAAACGCTTCCATATCACCGATTGCACGAGCACGAGACAGTTTGCTGATGTCTGAGATATTCTTAAGTAATTTTGTAGACCAAGATAGAACGAGACCGAAAAAGTCAGATAATCTTTATTTCAATTTTGAGAACATGAAGGCTTTATATATTTTTCAGAGAGTTAGCTGAGCTTATAGAGGATGTTAGGAAGATGTAGTTACAACCAATGAGTACTAATGGATCTAATGAGAGATTAGTGAAGGCGTGTTCTAACACTGTTATGGATATGATACCAGTTTGACTTGTGAACAATTGCTTAATCGACAATTCAAGTCTAAGATGACAGCCGTTTATGCTGTGTTTAAATTAATTAATTCTCACTCGTGTTTCGATACTGTAGACAGTGGTCGGGACATGACAATGTCTTCTACCAGCTCCTTGCGAAAGTCTTCAATTGTGTTTACGACAAATGACGTGTCATCCATCACACCAGTACCAGCGCTCAGGGCTGGAGAGTTTCCATCACCGTCGTCGTCCACGATGCACATTGCATCTACACCTTCTTCTTCAATTACTACTTGCGTAGAGTCACCTTCACCTGTAGAAGATCCACCAAGAGCAGCAGCAGAGTTCTTGACTACTTCACCAGCAGCCTTCGAATCAGTGACAATATTCTCGATAGACATCTTGAGTGATTCACTGAAAAAAATGTTGTATACGATAAGATCAAAGTATAAGAAAAAGAAAACAAAAGGAAATCAGTGAAGACCAAGTTATCTTCTTTTATTAGGTAGAATATTCTGATAAAGAACTCCATTAAGAATGAAGACAAAAACCATGTAGGAAAAAAGTACTTCTATTTATATTTGTGGATATTGTAAAAAACTTTTTCTATCGAGACTCTTAGGTACAAGATGCCTTGATGATAAAAGAAAAGACATACCCAATTGTTACTGCACGGTTCATCATGCTATAGCGGTGCCTTGACCGATTGGATCGGTGACAGGAGGTAAGTGGGTTGATCTAACTAAAGGTTCCTTTGACCCGTACTTCAGCAGTTTCATTATAACTAACGTGACGGACAGGATAAACTCTTCCTTAATTCTGCCGACGTCTACGTTTCAGTCTTATTGAATTCTGTCAGAATGTAAAGGGTTAAAGTAAGGATCAACAAGTTAGAAGATAATAGCTTAAGTAGATTAGATTTATGTATTGTGGTTTGGTGTGCTAAATAAAGTTCATCTGATTTAATCAAATCCAAATACTATAATATCTTATTTCTAAATGAAATCAATTACTCATCCAATGTTGTCTCGGATATACAGATGAAATATTCTTCCGCTAAAGAAAAGAATTGTTCTAACAAACCTATCACTCACGGTTATTCTAACCTTCATAAGGATCCGCAATCTCTTATTTCAGTATTATGTAATAATCCAAGAGTAATATGCTGTTGGATACAACATGGGTCTATACCTGATACAAGTGGTGTTGCTGAGCCAGAGATCTTTTATCCGACCTTCAGGTCTCTGCTGCGCCATTCATATCATGAATACCTCAGTCTATTATGTCCATTGGATCTATCTTAATATTATCTGGCTTAGGATAAAAATATGTATGGAACATGCTGTAGCATTGGACTCTATTATTATAATAATATTATCTCATAATGCACAGACAATAAAGAATATCATTTATCCATATGTAATCTCAACAGTGAATGATTAAGTATGTCGTATTTGAGGCACGATGGCAATATTATATGAGTAAATCATCACTCAAAACGTCTAACGAAATGTAAAATAAAACTTGATCTCAGATATGAGTACTGCTCATATCTTCGTTCCCGTTTGGTAAGCGGTGTGTTCGATTGCATACATTTGAACCTTAGATCAAATGTATAACAAATAAAGATAAGATAAGAAAAGAATATGGATTAAGGATAATTCTTATGTGAGATTAGCTACCTCACATAAGACTTGAACAGGTTATCTTTATGAAATATATTTTACTTAGGTTATCTATGGCTATATGACATTCAGGTATATAGCAGGATTGGTATATGTACTCGTAGGATATATTGATTCAACAGCCAAAACATAGTAGGTCACGGTACTGCTCCCTGTTCTGGAAATAAAGTATGGTTGGAGATAAAAAAGGCTCAATCACTCTTTATTAACACAATAACTGTTCACGCAATCAAAAGAACACCACGCACGAATACCTCTTCCTAGCCAACATCTATAATCATTCCCACAGTATCTGAGCTACACAACTGGTGGCCGATAGATATTGGATTATAGATGTAGCTGCATGATCACCCTGGATCTGCCAGGATAGCACATTACAAATCAATCCGCTCTGGGATGGACGAGTAATTATCCACCTAAAGGGAAGACCTATTCTTTTACGGAAACCTCTGATTCAATGAGTATTATTTGACCATAATACATCAGTGTCAGCTATAGATCCCGATACAGTCATTTCGTAGACAGCAAACACAATAAGTCTTTATTAATAGCAGTAATGTTAGTTTTCTTTTCTTTTTCTTTAGTTTGTTTTTGAAAGAGAAATAAAGACGGTGGTTTGATTTCGTTAAGCTTTCGTGTTTATTTTCTCTTGTGTTATTCTTTACCTTTTACTTCATAATTAAAACTAGCGAATACCACAAAGTACCAGAAGAGACTAATGTCATATTAGTATGGGATAGTCACATAGCAAGTATTGCAGGATTTATTTGTCTCTGTCAATATCTATATACGGACTTATGCCTCAATATACAACAATCAAGCAGATGAAGGATAAGATGAACGCAGCAAGATTTGCTGGTGAAAACGCTAGTAACATAGTTGAAATCAGCAATATCATCTCGTTCATAAAAACCATGAAGCTTGTTCATTTTGGAGTAGCAGAAAAGCCCATTGATACAACAACATTTGAAGATCATCCGGATATTGATAGAGTGGAGGATAAAGCTTCACTTTCACAACTCTGGTCAACATTTGGTCGCTTTTCTATTTCGCTCAACATGCCTGACAAGCAAAAACTGATTGATGGCACTTTTACAATCTCAATGATTGGTATCGCTTTATACCATTATATAGCTAGAATAAAGAATATCAGTAAGAGGCAAGTCCACTTTACACCAGATCAACAATCCTACCCAATTCGCTATTCTTCCAGAATCAACCTTCAACATGTTACATATCACTCGCAGCTTCACAAATATAAACAAAAAAATATCACAAAAGACGGATACTATGTAATGTTCAAATATGCACATACTATTTACAGAAATGGGTAAGCTAAACTACAATTTTATTCATTCCTCTCGTTCATACAGTGACTCACAAAAGTGTTACAATGTTTTTAAAAATTCTAATTTTTCGACTTTTTCATGCATTCTTCCCCTTGAGCACATACTTAAGCACTGATTTTTTTTTGCGATATGGAAAGTAGTAGTGTGGTATTCGCTAGTTTTAATTATGAAGTAAAAGGTAAAGAATAACACAAGAGAAAATAAACACGAAAGCTTAACGAAATCAAACCACCGTCTTTATTTCTCTTTCAAAAACAAACTAAAGAAAAAGAAAAGAAAACTAACATTACTGCTATTAATAAAGACTTATTGTGTTTGCTGTCTACGAAATGACTGTATCGGGATCTATAGCTGACACTGATGTATTATGGTCAAATAATACTCAGTGAATCAGAGGTTTCCGTAAAAGAATAGGTCTTCCCTTTAGGTGGATAATTACTCGTCCATCCCAGAGCGGATTGATTTGTAATGTGCTATCCTGGCAGATCCAGGGTGATCATGCAGCTACATCTATAATCCAATATCTATCGGCCACCAGTTGTGTAGCTCAGATACTGTGGGAATGATTATAGATGTTGGCTAGGAAGAGGTATTCGTGCGTGGTGTTCTTTTGATTGCGTGAACAGTTATTGTGTTAATAAAGAGTGATTGAGCCTTTTTTATCTCCAACCATACTTTATTTCCAGAACAGGGAGCAGTACCGTGACCTACTATGTTTTGGTTGTTGAATCAATATATCCTACGAGTACATATACCAATCCTGCTATATACCTGAATGTCATATAGCCATAGATAACCTAAGTAAAATATATTTCATAAAGATAACCTGTTCAAGTCTTATGTGAGGTAGCTAATCTCACATAAGAATTATCCTTAATCCATATTCTTTTCTTATCTTATCTTTATGTGTTACACATTTGATCTAAGGTTCAAATGTATGCAATCGAACACACCGCTTACCAAACGGGAACGAAGATATGAGCAGTACTCATATCTGAGATCAAGTTTTATTTTACATTTCGTTAGACGTTTTGAGTAATTTACTCATATAATATTGCCATCGTGCCTCAAATACGACAAGTAGTTCTAAGCTATTCAGTGATATAGCTTGTGTTAGGATTCATATACATTTGTTTGAGCACATTCGACATTGGCAATCTGTAGAAATTCAGATGGTTGAAATGATGAATGTTTACAGAGCCTTCTTTCCCCAGGATTTTTCGAATTTATTGAGTTTCAGCAATCTATCAGGGGTCAATTTAATGTTGAGTATCATGTTTTGTCAAACTTGTACCTTTTTGCTTTTCGATTAGCTACATTACTTTACCCATTCACAAAAACCGCAACATTAGACAAATCTCAGCATGCGTCCCGTACCTTACGATAAAAAAAATGATATTTTAGCTAGACTGCGTACAGGAGAGTCTCATAGAAGTATCGCCAAAAGTTTAAAGGTATCCAACGTCACTGTTGGTAGAATCGCTAAAGCTAATGACATTGCATGCAACGAAAAGACCGACCGTCCTAGGTTAATCTCGGATCGTCTCGAGAGAATGATCGCAAGATCGTTCTACTTGGGGCAGTTCATAACAGCAGTTGATGCTGCCAGGAACCTGCGGGGTCAAGGAGTAGATATTTCTCCACAGACCATACGTAGGGTCCTGAAAAGATCCGATTTCGATTCAAGGATTAGAAAATCAGCATTGCCATTAACGAATGATCGAAGTGTGATATTCTTAAATATCAGGAGTTATAGTTTAATGAGTTTTATATGTAGAGACTGAGTGAGTCAGCGAGACCGAACAATAGTTCTTGGATGATTTTATTTTGGTTTAGAAATTGAATGGTCTTTTATATGAATGCGAGGTTAAACTGAGCTTATAGTGGAATTAAGAAAGTAGTAGTGACAACCGAGTAATATTGTTCCTGTTAATGAATTGTACAACGCCACTGAGATATATCTAGATTACCAGTAAGGTTGAAGTGTGCCTGATGAAATCTTATTTGCCCCAGTGTGCCTGGAATCTTATTTGTTCCAGTACACTATAACTGGTAAAGGCAGTAAATCTGGATTGTTTCTCAGATTGTTATATGAATTAGAGGTCAGAACGTGACATTACCCCCTTCCAGGTTGGAGCTGTTGTATCCAAGATACAACTATACGTCTTAAACTACAGAACGACTTCAGTACCTGCTTGACAATCTGATACACATCTACTTTGACACCCGCTTGCAGCTAAGATCTTATCATTCTCATGATAGTTTTAGTTCAGTTGTATTAATAGTTGAATACCCGTTAATAACCCCGTTTCTCATATAAAAGTATCATTCTCAACAAACTTGAATAAAGAGTATCTTTGTTGTGTCTGGTCATTTTACTGTCTTATTTTATTTTATTTTTATAAGTCTTTTAAAGTAACTGGATATATCATTTTTTTTTTGACCTTATCGAAACAAGAAACTCTATAATATTCGATATCAAGAATACTATCAATCTGCACTTACCGAAATGTCTGATAATAGTCATAATAACCATTCTGTCGCTGCTACTGGAGAACCTTTCTCTTCTGTTGACGGTGTCATCACGTCTACGAGCTTTCCGGATGTTGTACCTGTCAACATTACTACTGCTGCTACCCCGTCATTTCAGGAATCCAGTTCTGCTGCTATTCAACATGAGGATGATTCCATGGTAGTTGATCCGACTCCCGTTGTTGAAGGTGAAGCTTCTTTTGAGGCTTTCGTTCCTTCTGACACAACTGGGATGGTTAACTTGCCCTCTGCTGAGTCGTCTTCGATAGTAGCCCTCAAAGAAGGCCTACATCAAATGGTTATGGAAAACCGTAACTTGTCTTTGCAGTTGCTTGCTAAACGCAACTTGCCGGAAGAACAACTGTTACCTCTCCGTAATCGTTTGGCACAAAACCTAAGGGACATGGAGCAATTAGAAGCAATTTTGGCTCAGGATGCAAAGTGTATTGCTTTGTTGTCTAGCATTGGTTCGTCTTCTCCCTCTGTTTCTTCAGGAAATAGTACGTCTTCTGTCAGTGGTCAATCGTCTGCTGATATATCCTTGTCTTCGACTAACAGTAAGCCTGCTGTACAAAAGGCGGTAGTTCCTAATGATCTACCTCTTTTTCAGTGGAGTGCTCGCGTCTATGACAATAAACTTTTTGTTTATGAGGATATTGAGGATTGTCTTCAAAAATTTGAAGATATTCTGGATACATGGCAACTTCCCCTTGAAGATCACTGGTATCGTCTTGTCCGCAAATGCCTTACCAAGGAAATGCGCGACTGGCTTCGTTCGTTTGTCAAACAACATTCCAAAGAATCTTCCTGGTCTATTTTTGTTGACGAATTTAAGAAGGAGTTTGGTCCTGCTGCTGAGGTTGAACGTACCAAGGCGACATCCGAATTGATGGATCTAAAAAAACACGCATCTGAAACTATGCGAGATTTTTGCAACCGTTTCAAGAATCTTCGTAAGAAATCAGGTGTCACTGATAAATCTGTGCTGTTGAATAGCTTCAACCGTGGCTTGGATTCCCAGTTTTTCCAAGGACTCTCCTTTTCGCTCAACTTGGCCAATGAACGCCAACGCAAGGATATCGACTTCGTTCTTGCTGCGGCTAAAACGTTAGCCATTCAACTCAATCAATGGGATGCGACTGATTTTGCTACTTCCGCTAGTACTCGAAATTCAGCTGGTGACAAGCGTTCTTCTTCTTCTCTGGAAGACTATGAGCGTAAGTTCAAGAAATCTAAGGGTCGTTCGAGTCTCAGCTCGTCCAATGAACGTTACCATTATGATCATTCTCCCGTCGTCCGTTCTCCTAACGGTACCAATGCTAGCAAGTATGCTAATGGAGCTAAAAGTAAAAGGCAAGGTATCTATTGTACCTTCCATGAAGTCGATACACACAGTACGGCAGATTGCAAGGCTCTGAAGAAGCAGGCCCGTCAGGAAAATCAGCAACCACGTCGCCAACCTTGTTCCGTCTGTCGTGCTCCTGGCTCCTTTGAAGGTCATAAATGCCAATATGCCAAACGCTCTTCAAGTCATCGTCAGAGCTATGGTAATGGTGGTCCAGCCAAGGATTTAAAAGCGCGCGAGATGATCTTGAGTGCCATGTCTGATCCTGCTTTCCCCCGATCTCACCACGGTGCTTCTTCTGCTTGGACCAGCGTTAAGCAAACTGGTTTATCTTTGGATGCCATGGAAGTAGATTCTTCTGAATCTGCTTCTGCATCTGATAATGAATCTTTGCAAGAGCGTGCTCAAGCCCAAGAATGTAAGTACCATGAGCAATTCTCTGCTTTTCCGAGTAATAAGTCTAACTCACTTATTGTTCCTCTTGTTATAGAGAACATCGTAACATATGCTTTGGTTGACACTGGTGCTACTTTCTCATGCATTAGTCTTGCTTTCTTTGACTTCCTAAAATGCCCACTGTCTAGTTCAGGTGGTCGTGTTCAATTAGGATCTAGAAATGTAACAACCACATCAATTGGCTCATGTTTACTCAATGTTTTTTAGGATGTATAGCAAAGGAACTCTCACAGTCTATATTCAAACTCCGAGCATACTAATAGTTTTCTGCATTTGATACAAAATTGAAATTATAATTTAAAAAAAAAGAAATATATTAAATGTTCATTGAACCTTATAAATCTCTAAGAAAAATATTTGAAGATGAGAAAGAAGCATTAGTATATTTGATAGATCATGATTATGTCAATAAGTTTCCAAAATGTGATAAATGTGATCATGAAACTAAGTTAAATTTGAATAAGAAATTATACGTTTGTAGATATTATAAGTGTAGAAAAGCAATATCACCATTAAGAGGAACAATCTTCAATAAATTAACTTTGCCATTAAATAAACAGTTACATATATTATATTTATTTCTAGGGAAAGTTCCATCATCATTTATAGCATCAAGTTTACAAGTAAGTAGAAATACTGTATCATCTTATAATAAAATCTTTAGAAAACATATAAAAAATAAACAATTATTAAATAATAGAAATATTAAAATTGGAGGTAGAAATAGAATAGTTGAAATTGATGAGACTAAAATTGCTAAAAGAAAATATCATAAAGGTCACAAAGTAGATGGTGCATGGATTATTGGAGGTATAGAAAGAAGTATATTAAAAAATAAAATTAGAAATGAAAATAAAAAATTATTTTTAGTACCCATTAAAGATAGAAATATTGATAATATAGATTTAATAATAAAAAGATATGTAAAAAAGGGTACCATAATATATACAGATTTATGGAAAGGATATAATAATTTAAATAATATAGGGTACAAACATATGACAGTAAATCATTCCAAATATTTTAAAGACCCTAAGACAGGTGTACATACAAACACAATTGAAGGTACATGGAATGGTTTAAAACAAAGTATAATCCCAAGGAATAGAAATAAAAAAGATATATTATTATATTTGAAAGAATATCAATGGCGTAAAAAAAATAGGGAATATAACTTATGGAAGAAATTTTTAAAAGATTAATATTATCTAAAATTGAATATTCCATATAATTAAAAAAAGATAATCTTAAGGACCATATTAAATGTATTTCAAAAATGCAGTCTGCTTCTATAATGACCTAGTTACGTCTATAAACTGACTTATTTAATACACAACAATTATATAATATAGTATGTCTAAAAGGATATCATACAGCAAGTGTATTAGATAGATAATTATGATAATAATACAGTATTAAGAAACTTCCAAAAAAGTCACAAAACTATGCCAAAAAAATTAAAAAAAATGTCAAATATACTAT